AGAAATGCCTAGGGGCCCTTTGTCCTATGCCAGTTACTTCTAGCCTTCCCATTTGACTTAAGGGGACAAAGTACTCAGCAAGAGTCAAGTGGTAGATTAGAGGGTTTAATATTTACTTGTGAAGTTCAAGCTTGGAAATACAACCCATACCCATTATAAAACTATGAGGAAGCCCAGTCAAGAGGGACATCCCAAACAGTACACTAAAGAACTATGGAGCCTTTGGTATCTACAGTTGCAAGTATTAAGTACAACACAGACGAATAAATACATTAAAATTAAAGTCCTATTTCTCAACCTAATATGTCTACCTTTCAACAAAAAATTTACAAAGTTTGCTAAAGGACATGAAGAAATACCCCGAAGACAGAACATACAAAGCAAGAACAAGAATGAGACCCAAGGACTGGAGAGATGGCTCTGTGGTTAAGATTACTTACTATTCTTATAGAGGGCCTGGGTTCAGTTCCCAGAACTCCCATGGTGGGAGTTCACAATCATCCCTAACTCTGGTTTCAGGAGCCCTGACACCTGACCTCTGAGGGCACCAGGTGCTCATGTGGTGCACATACATATATCCAGGCAAAACATTCATAAGCATAAGGTCAAAGAATAAATCTTAAGGAAAAGAATGAGATCTAAGAATCACACACACACACACACACACACACACACACACACACACACACACAGAGAGAGAGAGAGAGAGAGAGAGAGAGAGACAGAGACAAAGAGATAGAGAGACAAAGACAGAGAGATACGCAGAGAACTTAAAGTAAGTTATGGACAAAGTAGGGCAAGGGAAAGAAGAGTCCTCTAAGCAGACAGAGGGGGAATTTAAGGGCCAAGAGAAATGTTAGGAATCATGAGTATTAGAACAGAACACAGAATGCCTGTGATGTGCTCATCAGTGGGACAGCACTGCTGAGGAACAACTAAGCTTAGTATCTACGTGAAATTCAAAAAGAAAAAAACTAAAAACTCTACACTTAGGCATGTCCTATTCAAACTGTGGACAGCAAAGATACGTTTTAAAGAAGCCAGTGGGAAGACTCAGCTACCAACGGAGACACAAGGATGAGAGCAGGTCCCCTGTGAGAAGTCCTGTAGACAAAATGTGGGCCATAAAGTCAACACCATGAAACCCAGAATTCCATACCAGCAAGGTATCCTTTGAAAGTAAAGGGGAAAGAAACACATTCCATGACAAAGCTAACATCACCAGCTAGTCTGCTCTGCAAGGAGTGAGAATTTCCCCAAGCTCAGTGAAAATGGAGGTCAGAAATGTAAATCTAGCTGGGCATGGTAGTGCACACTTTAATTGCAGGCAGAAGCAGAAGGAGCTTTGAGTTCCTGGCCAACCAAGGCTACAAAGAGAAACCCTGTCTCAAAAACTTAAGAAACAGCCAAACAGATAGCAAACCAAACCAAAGTCCTTATAGCTACATAAAACACACCACTACATAAAGATGAACACAATCTTTGCTTTTTCTGATTCTTAATTTTCTAGTTCTTAATTAACCTAAAAGATAACTACTTGCTTAAGGGAATAATGGTAATGATATATTGGGTGATTGTGACATTTGGATAAGTGACCGGCAGCAATGCTCCCAAGGGACAGGAAGGAGGAGCTGAGCATACACAGTGACAAGACAGACCCTGCACTCCACTCAAGACAGGCATAGCTCAGGTTAAAATGTGCACTATAAACTCTAGAGCAATCTTTAGACAAGTTTTGGTCCTTTTGTTTATCGATACAAACGGCCATGCCAGAGGATACTGGCGTCCTGCTCTCTCTCCCCACCTTATTGCATTGAGACAGGGCCTCTCACTGAATCTGGAACTAGGCTGAGGGCAAAACAAATTCTCCTGTTTCAGTGCTCCTCCCCCAGCACTGAAGGTAAAGGTGCATATCACCATGCCTGTGGTGCTGGGATTTGAACTCAGGTCCTCAGGAAAATATAGCAAGCCCCCTTAACCACTAAATCAGCCCTCCCAGACACTTGTTTATTAAGGCAGGGTCTTGCTATGTTGCTCAAGGTTGGAATTTTGAGTTGTGAAACAATCCTCCTGCCTCAACCCTAAGAGCAGCTGTCTGGGACTGCAAGCACACACTATTAAGTACCTGACTAAAGGAGAAATGACTTGTTTATTGAGATCAAATTCCTTTGATGATAAGGATCACATAAGTTCCTTCTAATCTATACTCTGAAACAGCTGCTAATAAGCAGAATAGCAAGGGTTTTACTTTCTAAGTAAGGTGGCTGACCACAGGCAGAGAAAGATAAAGGCTATTAAGGGATTTGCATAGCACACCATTCCGTAGTGAGCTCAAAATCTAGATGACTTTCTGTATAATGGGGGTCAAATTACAGTGGCATAAATTCTCATCTTGGATGGTTCCAATCAAGCTTATGAAACACCCAACTGATCAAACCTGGCATGCCCTTCAGAGAGAAATAAAACACATCACCACTAGGACACTGGTAAAATTCCCTCACACCTCATGGTGTCCATGTCCTTTGACACAGGCTATAATTAAGTCATCCAACTTAACCTTACCCTCATAGGCAGAGGTTTCTACCACTGCTGATGCAAAGCTCACAGCACTGCCTAGGTAGGGTGGAAACTGGGGACTCCCTTTACCACCTATGAGTCAGTGGTGTGAGTCACTTGGACTGGTTTACACATGAAATGGGGAGTGACTCTACATCGTGCTTGTATGAGGGTTACCAAGAGAATACATGTAGCATGCTTGACTCATCAGCTGAGTGAAGTAATTGTAGCCATTGTCTAGGGGTTCATCTGACCATAGAGGGCAAAAACTCTATGGGGCGTCTTTCGTTTTACCCTGTACTGCAACCTCCAGGATAAAAGGACATTTCTCTTTGCCCTTCATGGGATCTGCAGCAGGCAGAAGCAAATTAAGCCTGTCTGAGGAAGACAAACAGCATGTGTTCCTAGATTTTATAGCCACATAAAATAATGCATGTAGATAAAAGTCAAAGTAGAAATTGTCTGGGAGAACACATGGGGTACAAGGGAGCTCTGCTCAATATGCAGCACGTACTTATGTGAAGTTAGCAAGGCACTTTGCTGGCACACACACAGCAAAAAAACTCCTCAGTGTGCGTTTTTAATAGAATCATTTCAGGTTTCAGCCAGGCGTTATATCACACTCCTGTTATTCAGGAGGCTGGGGCAGAAGGGTCTTACATGCTTGATGCCTGACTGAGATACAATGAATAGAAGGTCAGCCTAGGCAACTTCAGACCCTATAGCAAAACAGGGAAGGAAGCTGGCTGTGGTGGTGTGTACCTGTATCCCCAGTGCTTGGAAAGTAGGGGGAAGTTCAGATCAGGAGTTCAAGACTAGCCTAGGCTACATAGACCCTGGGGATGGTGGGGCAGGACAGCTAATGATACACTACTTACTTGTCCAGAACACTCAAGGCCCTGGGTTCAATCCTTCACCACAACAAAACACTACTTCAAGTTTCTTAGGGGGAGAAAAAGAGCCCATTTCTTACATGTGTTAGTAATTCATATGGCTACCCGTTCTGCTTCCTTTTCCGGACACAGCATCCAGTTAATACACAAAGGAAGCCAACCCCACCAGAGTTGGAGATGGGCCAGGTGGGGCATTGTGCTTGTTTGCCCTATAGGCCTGGGACACAAAAACTCAAAACTCTCTGCAGTCAAGTCCTACTGGCCTCCCTGGGGTTATCCTTTAACAAAAAAGACACGCCTCTTCTATTAAGCCCTTCTGTGCTTTAAGTCAGGGATCAGTATCATCTTTCTGGGAAGAGTTTTCCCAAGTCACAGACTGTCCACAGGCTGTCACTGAACCTCACCTCAGACCATAGGTTCTCACCCTGTGGGTCATGACCCACTTAGGGTCACATATCAGATATTTACATGATGATTTATAACAATAGCAAATTTACAGGTATGAAGTAGCAACAAAATAATCTTATGGTTGGGGTCACCACAACATAAGGAACTGTATTAAAGGGTCATAGTCTTAAGAAAGGTTGAGAACCACCACATCAAGACCCTTCCTTCCCATCTATAGTGAAAAGGCTACATCAGTTCCATTATAGAAAAAAAAAGTAATTTGGTTGAGAATTAGAGAATTCACAGGTATTGGTAAATAATGGTAACAGTTTAATTTTTAACTTATCTGTGATTCTTTTTATATATTGAAAAACAAAGGCCTGTGTAGCTAGAGTTTTCCTGCCTTGCCCATAATCAGGACAAATCTCTGTCACCCGCCAGTCCTATAGCCACTCAGACCCAACCAAGTAAACACAGAGACTTATATTGCTTACAAACTGTATGGCCGTGGCAGGCTTCTTGCTAACTGTTCTTACAGCTTAAATTAATCCATTTCTATAAATCTATACCTTGCCACATGGCTCGTGGCTTACTGGCATCTTCACATGCTTCTTGTCATGGCGGCGGCTGGCAGTGTCTCTCTGCCTCAGCCTTCCACTTTCCAGAATTCTCTTCTCTGCTTGTCCCACCTATACTTCCTGCCTGGCTACTGGCCAATCAGTGTTTTATTTATTGACCAATCAGAGCACATACAGACCATCCCACAGCATTTCCCCTTTTCTTTTTTCCGGAGAGAAAACTCTCCAGCTACAGGCCTGTAGGGGTTTTTGATGATTAAAATACAAAAGTCTGGCCGGCTGGTGGTGGTGCACACCCTAACCCCAGCACTCGGAAGGCAGAGGCAGGTGGATCTCTGTTGAGTTTGAGGCCAGCCTGGTCTACAAAGCGAGTTCTAGAACAGGCTCCAAAGCTACACAGAGAAACCTTGTCTTGAAAAAAAACAAAACAGAACAACAAAAAAATACAAAAGTCCTGCATGGAGAAATAGGTGAATAGTAAAGATTTGGATCAAACAAGCTTTGAAGAGATCGTGAGGCTTGGTTTCTTGCACTGATTTAACAACTTCATGAGTTCTGTGAAGAGGAACACAATATAATAGCCACATACTTTCAGTATCAGTTTTTATTAAAAAGTGCATTTTGATTAATTTATGATTTAGGTAAGCTGTAAGATATCAGTATACTCTCTGGAATAATAACTTTACAAAGATTTAAAACAAACAAAAATTTAAAAGCCTTTTTATTTCCTTCACCATTATTGTTTTACAATACAAATATCACCTTGTGAGTAACATACACACACACTCATACACGCACACACACTTGTGCACACACATACACACAAAACCTACAGAAGGTAATTCTGCTGCACATAAAATACAGAATGGATATTATATATATATATACTTCTTCGTTCTTAGAAAACTATTTTGTTCTCCACGTTGGCAAGTATAGAGCAGAATACTTCCCCAAACATACGCATGTCAGGAGTAAAACTCAGAGATACATGCAGTTTCTGCACAAATATATTTTAAAGAAATAGATCTCTTTTTGTTGTTATTCACCAAGAAAATTGTCATGAGACTATGGATAACTAATTTATAGCTTTCAAGTTTTAGGTTAAGTGACCATCTTCAAAACTCTCTTTTAAAAAAGATATTCATGGCTGTTTTTATTGAGTAGTTAATTGAACTACCAAAGATGAAGCAATTTCAGTGGTACGTGTCACTGCAGCCCGCTCACAATATGTGAATGGGCACATACTCTTAATTCACACCCCTATTCTTAAATTCAAAACATTTTTAAAACCATTAGCAGTCTTTTGATTTAATTTAGCTATAAATGCAAAATTTAGTAGTGTATACATACATTTATATTTTCATGGAATACTTTAAATAAAAACATGTAAGATTGCCTACCGACCATACAATCAAGACAAGAAAGGCACTAGAAACATAGACAAATTTCTCTCCCAAGAAGCATTTTTAAATTTTAACTCTTTTCTGTGACATGTAAAAATCTTTAAATTTGGTTTTCATAACATCATTTTGAAAAATAAAGTTAGGAAATACTTAGAAAAATCACTTTATAACAGAATCTTTTTTTTTTTTCAGTTTTTGATACACCGTCTCTGCTGATTTTACAAAACTCCACGTGACCAGATCTCTGCACACCTACCATCTTCAGCTGGACATCAGCATAGCAGGAAGAGAGATTTCGGAACTAAATCCCATTCAGACACTTAGAACCCTTCATAGAGACATTTGCTAGAAAATGGCTTACAGCCCTATCTTTGGGGCAAGAGATATGAAAAGTATGTTTTCCCAAGAAAATAACACACTTTATTCCCAGATGTGGCTGGAAAGGCCAGAGCTTATGATATGGAAGCGCACAGTGGTGCTGCTGAATTATATAGAGGAGCATGGTGGCTGCCGGTTATGGAAGCCCCAGGCTTAACAACAGGAAATGTGTACAGTGCATGATAAGGTAAATTTTCTTTATTGTTGTCCAACGCAGGTCCTTTGGAGAGAAAAAAAAAAGAGAGAGAGAGAGAGAGAGATCACAGTGCTGACCAGGTAACTCAATAGGTTAAGTCAAGGTAACTGTTGAAAGATAATAGCAGTAGGGAGGTCTTTGTCTTATGGCATCTTCTCTCAGGGAGCTCTTAGCACTTCGGACAGGTCCTCATTCCCCGACTCTGTAGAGTTGTTATGTGTCATTTACCAACCGGCTATATTTAACTTGCCTACCAAGGTGGACTACTGGCCAGGGGAAGGGCCAATGGTAAGATCGAGGTACAATTCCTTGGACATTCTTTTCAAAGTACTGAAATGGCCTGTACCACCACACCCTGGCCAGGAGGTTCATCTGGGAAGCTTCCTTTAGCACCTAAGAAAGCAAAGAACAGACACATTCTTTATTTCACAATCTTTCATTTCCAAACATTTCCCATGTTCAAATTCAAAGGATCCCAGACTTGCCCCACCCCCACCCCCATAGCTCCACTCTCAGTCCACCATACTATACCCTGAACACATATGATTACAGCAGAGCAAGGGAAACTGAGGCTCCCTCAACTCTTGCTTATTAAACATCTCAGCCCTTTCCTTTCTCTTTCATGCTTATAATAAGGGGAAAACTTAATTAAATATAACTATAGAATTAGTGAAGGGCCCATCATAACAAAAGGAGGTTAGGAACACATATTGAGTGCAGAAAGAGGCTTAGGGAATATTTTTTCACAGACAGTGAGAGTCTATATGTCAGAAGAAAACACTATCTGTGTCATTACATTAACAAAACTGATACTTCGGAGGACTGATGCTATAAAAGCCAGTACTATTTCAGCTGGCTCTTCCTAGGAAAGAGAAACTGGGGGAAAAAAATCCATAGATTCTTTGTCTTTCCATTATATTACTCCAGCCTAAGCCAGCAGCACCAAGCCATGGATACGAGAAGTCAAAATCAAATGCAGTGGAGGGGAGACTCACTTGCTGATTGGCCATCGTGTGATACCACCAGAAGAGTCTTGTGGTGATGTAGTAGGCCACCACCACGTCCACAGTGTAGTGGTCATGCGCTAAGAGAATACAGAAGATTCCAACGACGCTGAGGAGCCAGCAAATCCAGTGGTACCACCAGAGTCGCCGAGGGGAATCTAGAAAGAGGAAAAATTTACAACAGTCCCATTCTCAAATGCCATGAAGGGCACTCAGCCACGCTTCTGCCATTCCTGAGATCAACTGTCTTACATCTTTCCTCCGGAAAGCCTGGGCCAGCAAACCAAAAGATGTTTTATTTCTCTATAACCAGGGCTACATGAAAACAGCTTTTAATGAGTGATGTGACTAGCAGTAGTAATTCATATAGGACTGTAACTTGCTTTATATAATCAGAAATGTAACTTAAAGGGTGGCTGTGGGTGCTAGAGAGATGGCTCAGTGGTTAAGGGCACTGACTACTCTTCCAGAGGAGCTAGGTTCAAATCCCAGCACCCACATGGCAGCTCACAACTATTTGTAACTCCAAGATCTGACACGCTCACACAGACATACTTGCAGGCAAAACACCAATGCATATAAAAGAAAAGTAAATAAACTAAAAAAGGAAAGGTGACTATGACCAAATATGCACAGGTTACTGCACTGCACTCATTTTTTTTTTCCAAGACAAAGTTTCTCTGTATAGTTCTGGCTGTCCTAGAACTTACTCTGTAGACCAGGCTGGCCTAGAACTCATAGAGATCCACCTGCCTCCGCCTCCCGAGTGTTGGGATTAAAGGTGTGTATTACCACTGACTACTTTTAAGACTGTCTACTGACATTTTTATGTGTATGTATGTATGTGAATGTTTGTGTGAGTGCAGACACACATGTATGTAGGTGTATGTGTGCCTCGCATGTAGAAGCCAGAGGTTGATGACGAGTTTCTCTTTTGATCACTCTACCTTACGTACTAAGGGAGGGAGGGTCTCTCACTATGAAACCACACCTCACCTATTCAGCTAATCTCACTACTCAGCTTGCTCCCAAGACCCCCTGTCTTGTCCACACCAGCTCTGCAATTACAAGTATATGCCATGCCTACCTGGGGTTCTCATGTTTGCACCCCAAGCACTTTACCCCCTGAGCTATCGCCCTAAGACCTGTCCAACGAGCATTAATTAAATTTAACCCGTAGATTAATTGAGGCAAATGCTTTATATAAACCCAATACCTAATGCATTTATTCCATTTATTTTTTTGAGATTATAATTTAAATACAACATTTCTTCCTTCTCTTTCCTCCCTCCAAACCCTCCCATATACCTCTCCTACTCTCCTTCAAGTTCATGGCCTCTTTTTTCACTGTTATTGTATGCACATGTGTTTGTAAATACATAAATATATCCACAAACATAACCTGCTGAGTCCATATAACACTACTTGTATGCATGTTTCCAGGGCTGATTGTTTGACACTGAACGATCGATTGCTGTGCTCTTCCCTGGGGAGAACCGCCTCTTGTGTTCCCAGGTTTACTCAGTTGCCTATAGTTCTTTGTGTAGGGTTGAGGCCTCATGGTCTTTTCCCCATCCAGTCTGGTGTGTTCAGTGCTGTCATCCTTGCTCAGCTCACATTTGTGCCACAGATGCTTAGACATGGACCAAGCAATTATAACCACTACAGTTGCCATCCTGCTTTCCGGGTTCCGTAACTACACAATCATCTGAAAGATTGTGAGGTTTCTATTTCTTAAATATAAATAAAAGAACAGATGCCTGGAATTTGTGGTCCAAACATCATCCTAAAGACAGGACCCTGCCACACAAATACTTGTTTGTATGCAGATCTGGGGAGACAGTTGAGACAGCTCTCTATTAGTACAGGCACGCCTTTCTATTCCACATTCTCAATGGGTAGGGGGCTAGAGGGCCTGGGAGTTCAGAGAAAAGTTTGAATGGATCTACTGCCCCCATTTCTGGGAAGAAGGTACTGCTGCTTTTTACTAGATTCTCAAGAGGTGCAGCAGTCACTCACTCAGGCAGTGTGCATCTACCATGCCCAGAGACAGGTCCTGTGTGAGAATGCCTGGACCAACAAGCAGCGTAGGCAAAGGACCGCCTCTGTGGAGAGAAGTCTTGCCAGAAGGAGAGAGAGGGAGGAAGAGACTGCAATCATAGAGTTGTGTATTGTACTAAAGGTGAACAATAAACAGGATGAGGGGGATCAGAAGGAGAGGGAGAAAAGGGTTTTGTTCATTGATTTTTTTTAGGGCAATTTTAAATTGGGTGATGGGGACAAGAATAGCTCACTAATATTCATACTTGATACCTTAACAATACAGCAATAGCAGCAACTACACATTTTCTATGAAACTTGTTGAGTACCCTCCATACAGATCATTTGCTTTAATTTTATAACCTCTTTCCCACTCAGGAAATAAAAATTAACTTTAAAGATAAGGAAACAAAGACACATAAAGAGTAAAGTTTTTCCCAGGGTCACAATGCTAGGGGTTGATAGTTCCAGGATCCCAAAACAGAGTTTTGTGATTCTTGGAAGGCCAATATTGTTGCTTTTGATCCAGTATGAAATTTAACATGAAAAACTATTTCAGGGGTCAACCAGTAGGGGGCAGGCACCCCTTTCCTGAAGGGTCAATGGCATCTGACCCCTAAGGATCCCATTTCTACACCTGGTTATATCATAGTATAAGGGCCAGATGTCCTTTGAATAGACATCTGTAGAATTCACTTTATTTGATCACACAGTCAGGCTCCTGCAGAACACCTTACTTCTTAATGGTTCCTTTACTTATGTTTCAAGGACAGGGTTAGCCAGCCTGCTTCCTCTTCCTCCTACCAGTCCAATATGACTCACCATGCCCTTCCATACCTTCCCCTTCTCCCCATGGATGATGGACAGGTCAAGCCACACCTACTCTGCCTAACTACAACAGAAGCCAGAGACTTGGAAGCTCCTGCAGGAGTACTTGCTGTCTCTCTGAAGGAGACATCAGATGACACTGTTTCCTTGTCTCCCACCCCTCTAAGTGCACCTCACAGACGCTGCTTTGTGGCTTAGGGCACCCTCTGATCGTTGCTGTAATCTGTCCGTTCTCTTTCTCGGTACCCCTCTCAGCTCCCAGCACACACACTTTCAAGGACTACAATGCTCCTAAGACACTTCCAGACAGTGGTATGTGTCCCTCCTCTGCAGGATCACAGCAGCCTACTTCATTTATCACTCAGAGGGAAAGAGAGATGGCTCAGCAGTTGAGAGCACTGACTGATTGATGTTCCAGAGGACCTGGGTTCAATTCCTAGGCTGTCTGGTGTCTGATCATGCCAGGATTAAAAAAAAAAAGGACCCACAATGTGACCCCTCTCCCTTTCCTTTTAAGAGGTCACGTACAATAGCAAGAAGCACCACCTCCTTCGGGCCCTATAGCCAAAGGTCATGGGTGGAGCAAATACCACTACAGGAACTTAATAAACTGCTTCTAACAATAAAATTTCATCTGTTGTTCACTTATAGGGTTCAAACCCTAACAGCAATTAAAAAGAATGAACCAAGCCTCATGTCCCCAAAACAATCTAAAAGTAAAAAGTGGCAGAACATATTCATGTGTGTGTGTGTGTGTGTGTGTGTGTGTGTGTGTGTGTGTGTATGTGTGTGTGTGTATACACACACACACATACACACACATACACAAATACACATGCACATATATACACACATATATGTACACACATATGTAAACAATGCCATTTACATATATTTAAAACCAATCAAACATTACAGCTGACATCCAGGAACAAGGCACCCCCCCACAAGAGTTGCAGCTAAGGGCTTCCCACACATTTGCTGGGTGCACAGGGATAATAAGATAAGACAATTGTCCTTAGGCCTCCAGTTTGGCTTTAGGGGATTTCCCTCAAACTGATTTTCCAAAGGACCATGGAGAGTGGCAGGTGAGGAAATTACAAAGCAAGGCTGTTTTAGACTTACACTCTTTGATAAATAAGTAGGTGAGCGTGAGCATGACCGTGTGGCCACTGTACAGATAGTCCCCACACATGTTGTGAGAGCCTGTGATGGACAAGCCACCTCCAGCAATGAGCTTCATTATCCTCCGCACTTGCGCTTCCCAGTCTCCAAACAGCTGTCGGGAAAGAGAAAGCGAGAGTCATCGTTAGTTCACAGGGACCTTTGCCATCAGTCCTATTTGCTTTTTATACGATGCTTTACCAAAACACCAAGACTCCCCTCATCGAGTATGCACGCACTGTTCATCATGTTAGTGTCAGCCCCTGGAACGTGTGTGGCACTAGTGACAACGTCGCTGGCTCTAGACTCTCGCTCAGATGTTGGCATTTCCCCATAGTACATTTCAGTGATGTCTGAGGTTTGGGATTTTAACCCAGGGTCTCAAGCGTGCCAGGCACGTGCTCTACCACTAAGCCATGTGCTCTATCCAACGTAATACAATAAAACAGAAAGAATTAGTGGTTGATCTACCATACTTGCGAAAAAGAAAGTGTGACTCTTAAGCAGCCATTTAGAGATGCATTTTGGCCCAAAGGATAACAGCTCTGACTTACTAGCCAAAGCAACTGGAGGTAAGTCGGTCAAATGCATGAAACAAGGGACTCCAAACGCTGTACTTTGAGCACTCTGAAATTACACAGGCAACAAGGGCTAGTTTTCCTTTTAGTGAGCAATCTAGCGGCCTAAGATGCAAGTCTGGGCCGGATACTCAAGTAATAAACAGCTTAAATAACTCATTTGATGCAACTTGTATTTGCTCCATCAAAGACATGCAAATGTTTGTATCTTTATGATTGCAGCACCCTTGTTTAAACTTTTTTCTTAGATGTATTTATTTTATGTACATGGATGTTTCACTTGCATGCATATATGTGTACCAAGTGTGTGCTTGGTGCAGAAGAGGGTTGTCTACAACAGCAGTTATGCATAGTTATGAGCCATCATGTGGGTGCTGGGAAGTCAAACCCTGGTCCTCTAGAAGCGCCATAAGTGCTCTTAACCACTGAGCCATCTCTTCAGCCCCTGAAGCCCCATTCTAGTTGGCCAATTTAATTACCATAATCCCCCTTCAACATTTAGTTGCTAATACCCCAGCTTCGGAAAATGCATGTTTCATTACATTTTTCCTTTATAAAAAGCAAGCAGGATTTCTACTTCAGGAAAGCAAGCTGCCAGACCACACAGAGGATCTGACCCTCCCAACGCAAAGGGAGCCTTGAATGCTCAGCATGACAGAAGGAAGCAGACTTACACTGCTTCTCGTGGCACTATAGAACTGGGTACTGCCATACCAAAGTCTCCAGAGATTAAAACCAAGCTTTAGATGAAGGATCCATAGGAATATGACTTGGAGAGAGCATTCCAGAAAAAAAAAAAAAGAGATTGCTTGGTGGGGAGGGAGGTTCAAATTATTCAGCAGAATGATTTCCAATTTAAATTTTAGACCTAGCCATGCAACTAAACTTTTTTTATATACCGAAGACTTTGGAATATTTGCCATGTCTATGTCTCTAGTCTTCTCCAGGACCTGCGGAGAGGATGCATTCTACAAAGGAAGTGAGTAAATACAGAGGAAGGAAGAATCAGGCCTTTCTAGGATGGCAAGGAAGGAAGAGCCACAGCGCTGTGTAGCGGCTGTAACGTGGACTCACAAAGCGTCCAATCTAGACGCTTTATAGAGGTCTTCAAGGGCACGAGACTGATGGGTTAGCCAAGGCTTTTGACTATAAGGCATAAGGCAAGGACAAATAAATATAAAGAAAACTACTAAAAACAAAACAAAACACAAGGCACTTATCAACTCTGTGGGAAACAAACTATTGTATAGAAAAGGAAAGGTAATTACAGCAGTGGTCCTCACCCTCCTAACACTGTGACCCTTTAATACAGTTCCTCATGTTGTGGTGACCCCAACCATAACATTATTTTTGTTGTTAATTCATAACTGTAATTTTGCTGCTGTTATGAATTGTACTGTAAATATCTGTGTTTTCTGATGGTCTTACGTGACCCCTGTGAAAGAGTCATTCAACAACCCCCCAACCCCACCCCACTCCGCCAAAGGGGTTGCGACCGACAGGCTAAGAACCACACTGAATTATAGGAAAGCAACATGGCTTGGCTGTGAAGCATACTTACAGAACTGTAACTGGGTAAGTGCTGACTACTGAGTCACACAGAGGACAGACAACTACAGAGAGAAGACAGGACAAGATGTTTTGTGCTCTGGGATGGCAGGGTGAAGGAGGAAAAAGGTACAGAGGATGGGCAGTCCTTATTTTTTACAACAGGAAGTTAACAGAGCATCAGAACACAAGGGCATTCTTGGCTAGTTTAAGGCCGCCTACCATGAGACTCTGTCCCGATAAACAAACAAAAAATTATAGCCAGATGAGGTAATCACCTATAGTTGCCTGGAATCTGAACACTTGGGAGGCTGAGATAAGATGGTAATGAAGGAAAAAACAAACAAAAACCAAGAGTTACACAAAGAGAAATGATATTCTCATCTCACTTAGCGATAATGATAAAAGTGAAAATGTGCAGAAAGAGCTATGGATATGGTGATCTAGTTAAGAGTTAAACAGAAACAGGAAAAGGAGCTAACATAGGGCTGGGTCAGGACATCATTATGTTTAATACCAAGGTTAGCAGATATAAGGTAAGTGTAGAAGACCACAGCTCAACCTGTAACCAGGCTTCCAGTGGGACAAGACGTGGAGATGAAAAACAGTGATAAGGGGATCCTGTGTACAGTGATGAGGGAGGGGATCCTGTGTATAGTGATGAGGAGGGGATCCTGTGTATAGTGATGAGGAGGGAATCCTGTGTGTAGTGATGAGGGAGGGGATCCTGTGTACAGTGATGAGGAGGGAATCCTGTGTGTAGTGATGAGGGAGGGGATCCTGTGTATATGATGAGGGAGGGGATCCTGTGTAGAGGGGATCTGCTACAGACCTAGGCTAATGTGTGTCTTAAGAAAATAGTTTTGTTTTACACATATTTTTACAATACATTTGTTTTACAATGTATTTTAAGGTAAGTATCATTAAAAAAGAATACTAAAATCAAAAGTTTATAAAGAGTTGCAGTATGTGTCAATTTATTACTGAGGGGAAACAGTCTTTATAAATGTAGTATAGCCTAGGTGTGCAGTGTCTATTAGGTCTACAGTGGCACACACCCATGTTCTAGGACTTCATACTCACTCCTTGGCCCACTCAGACAACCTACAGCCCAGCAAGCTCCATTCACGGTGACTGCCCTGAGCTGAACCTCAGCAAATCTTTTAGTTTATACTGTATCTTTTTATGACTAGACATATAAATACTGAAATCAGGTTACAATGCCTATAATGTTCAACACAGTCACATGCTATAAGGCTAGTTCAGCAGCCTAGAGGGAACAGGCTAAACCTTAGGGGCATGGAGTTTGCATAAGGATGAATTAGTCTGACAACATATACCTAAAAGGATCCTTGTCATTAAACAATGTATGACCACACTATTAGCAAAGTACCTTGCCAACTGCCACGCTAGTTCCCCAGAGTTTGATTAAACCAAGCACTGGATCCATAGAGAGTCACTCTTCCTTCAGAAGCCTAAGTACCTCAGAAGTATGAGCATACTATCAATGTCCCATTCCAGGACCCTGGTCTGCCAAGCACCCCTTATAAAAATGCCTTTCAACCATTCATTCATGGAATCTACCTACTTTGGCAAATTACAGTGTACTGATCCTAAATAACAGTCTTCCACCAAAATAGAAAATGCATTATTATTGATCAATTGAACACCCAGACCAACAGCAGGGCAGCTAAGGGATCACACAGCAGGGACAGAAACCGAATTGGTGGACTCCTGCCTTGAGCATCCTGCCACTGAGAAAGCCATGTGCTCCGAGGGCTCGCTCAGCCAAGTCCACAAATGACTGTACAGCATGCCGTTCCCTGAGTTTTAACTGGCAGGCGGCCTTCTAAAAACAAGAACGGGTCCTTGCAAACTAACTAAGGGAGATATGAGATGTTCTTTGGGCCCCACTGGGAAAGTAAAATAACAGGAAGGATAGATTGCTCAGCAGGAAGATGCTGCTCAACGCTGCTCTTTCCGCCCTCTCCTTGCTTTGTCTTACTTTCACCTAGCTGTGCAGTAAAAAAGCAATGGAGTGGCTTTACAGAAACAAAAAATAAAATAAAATAAAAAACCCACTACGTTCTCTTTACACAGAGATCCCAAACTTTTAACAGGACTTTCCCATCAACTGTCTCCTTGTACCATCTTGAGCTTGTCTGCTGGTTAAGGGTGATGTTATGATGCTTATCCTGCAGAAGAGGAAGTAAACCGAGGGCTGCTGACTGGTCATGAGGACACACACCGACTCGGGATCAGAACTAAAGGCTCTATCTAAGAGCCAAATACAAATAATCCTACCCCGGCTCCTGGAGAGCATGCTATGGCTGTAATCACCTTCTGAAACAGCAAGGGGGCAGCATTTCCAGGTTCATACTTGGTTGCTATTCTAATAAAATTTAATTGCTTTTCCCTTTCCCTATGCCTTCTTAAACCAGGTGCTCTCAACCCAATTCAAGCTCTCCTTGCTTTATATTAAGCTACATTGGTCTCCAAGAGAATTTGTGTGTGTGTGTGAGACAGGATCTCATCATGTAGTCCAGACTAGCCTCAAACTCATGATCTTCCCTAGTGCTGGGGTTACAAGTATGCACCATCATGTCTTGCTTACAAATAGACTTTACTATCTATTTATTATAATTGTGTATGGGGGTGTGCATGAGTGTGCCACAGGACATGTGTAGGGGCCAGATGACAACTCTGGAGTTGGTTCTTTCCTTCCACTTTTTACGCTGGTGCTAGGCCTGAACTCAGGCTGATGGCAGACGATAAGCCACCTCACTGGCTCCCCAGATTCACTTTAGAGGAACAAAAATGAGCACACATCTAACTTGAACCCCATTTTAAATACTTTATTTAAGCTGGGTGTGGTGGCACATATCTTTAGTCCCAGCACTTGGGAGGCAGAGGCAGATGGATTCTCTGAGTTCAAGGCCAGCCTCATCTACAGAGCGAGTTCCAGGACAGTCAAGGGCTCCACAGACAA